CCACTTTAGAAGAGCTGAGTCTTCAGGAGTTTCTTGAAAATCAACAAGGAAGCCCTGTTCTGGTAGCTCTTGGTAGGTCATTCCACATCTGTGGAACGACACATGAAGAGTCTTGATTGTCCTGATTGGGTGTGGGCGCTGCTAGCCGACCATCCTTTGTTGAACTGCTTGACTCACTTTCAAACTGAAAGGACATCCTTGTTAGTGTGAGTCCAACACACAGTTTACTGTAACGCCTTGTCTTCTGCACAAGACAAACCATCAACTCCATGTCTGACTCCTTGGTTATGGAACAGTTTACCATAAATGTTGACGGCGTGGATGCTTTTAAAAAGCAGGTGAAACATTTTTGTTATGATAGATTTTTTTCCTGAGATTTCTTTAATTCACTTTGTTTTGTTGTTGGATTCAGACTTATGGCTGTTTAAAATTATTTTATTGCACACAGTCTTATTTTATCACATAGTACCTGCCTTATAACTGTACATCTGTTAATTTTCTTGATTAATAAACTTTAATTCCTCTTCGTGAGCATTTTGATGTTAAAGTGGTCATAAATAAACAAAACTGTATTGGTTTGACTGAAGAAAACACACTGCCTAGATGTTGTGTCTCATTAGCACCGAGTTTGCATGCTAACAGATCCTGCAGTTGTCATGGCAACATGCCCCACTAAACCTCTGTGCAGCTGCTGGAGATGCTCCTGAACAGCTGGGGGGCTATTGCTGTGAAAGGATTTCAGAAAATTGGTCTGTTGGTCCTCCCTTTACACCTTAACCCTAAGTTCCAACTAGTAAGCCAACACTCACAGAAATATTTAACCCTAAAACTTAAGATTTATGCAGTGTTTTTACATGACAAATTCCCATTTACTTTTTTAGGTCATTTTTAGACAAACCTACCAAATAAACTTTACATGATGCATATGCATTAGTGTAATAAAGCCTTTAATTGAAATGCATAATGCTCAAGTTTATGTACTTAGTATTAATCAAGTATAATTACTCTAAATTAATAATAAGGAGGGTATTTATTTCAAATACATAAATAATATTGTTTGAATTGCATAAAAATTAGGTTACCTATGCCGGATAAATAGCATATATTTATTTGAATTACATGTCATTTATACTTGTATAATCAACCAAACCATTCAAAATGCATCAAATTTCTTTAATTATTTTCCATTTAGTACAAATAGTAATGATGCTTAAGAACATTCAGATCACCTTGGTGATTAACAACTTTATTAGCATTAAAGCCTCTCGACATCCATGACATGAAACTCAAAGGACAGAATGTATCCTTGTGGTCCACTTCGAATTTTTTAATGATTAATGCATGTACAAATACTTCTATCTTTCTAATCCATCTCACTCCTCTCCATTCCCCCTCATCCTACTTTTTCTCCATCCAGAGTACTACATGAGTGACTAAACTGTAGAAATAACCTAATGAATTAAACAAGAGGAAAAAAATACAAACATGTAAAAAAAAAGTCTGGAAAATGTCAGATAATTCAGCTCATCAGAGCAAAGTGCTAAACTTCCCATCTACACCACACATACTCTCTAGGGGGAGTTTTCGTTGGAGCCTTGCAGGCTCAAGGACGCCAGATTCCGATTAGAAATTGTTTTGGGGCCAGGCCGAGATAATTTCCTCTCTGTCTTACAGTTTATTGGTCCTCAACCTCTCAAAATCCCAATAATGGACATTAAACCATCCCAATCCGTGCTGATTTGTCCAGTCTCTCCTTGATGGCATCCATCTTTTGTGCCAAAGAATGAAACTCGGCCAAAGTCCCAAGCTTACGATTCATCTCGGCAATTATGTGAGTCTGTGAATTCACAGCGCGGTGCAATCCATCTCTGAGCTTATGTTTATGTTTATTCACTTAGCAGACGCTTTTATCCAAAGCGACCTACAATTTCTAACCTGTAGGGCATGTTGTGAACTGTGGGGGAAACCGGAGTACCCGGAGGAAACCCACGCATGCAAGTGGAGAACACGCAACTCCACACAGAAAGGCCGCAGTCAAGTTTCAAACCTGCGACCTTTGTGCTGCGAGGCAACAGTGCTAACCACTGCGCCACCATGCAGCCATGATGATGTTAAAGGAGAAGGTAAACCTATCTGAGCTCCGGGATCAGGCCAATATTCCTCGACAACTTGTTAATTTTCCGGTAAGCCAGGTAGCCTCCAATGCCCATCAGTAGGAAACCCGACACCAACACCACAAGTATCCACACATCTTCAGAGTCCTCCACAGACAACTGGTCTGTCCCGGAGGGGCAACCGGGAGCCCCTTCTCCCGTTCTCATCTTTGAAAAAATTTTATCAACTGCGTTGAGTGACCAACTGACGAGATCCATTTTAGTGAATTTCAGTTTCCAGTTTCCAGAAAAAATGCAGAAGCAGCCGTGCACCCGGCACACACAGACAGAGAAATGCCTTGAGGATAAGATATGAAGGAGAGGAGAAGAAAAGCATCTGCACCCTCCAAGAGCCGGAAGAAGTCTGTTCAGTTTTGTTTAGCTGTTTTGTTTTATCTATTGCAATAATGCAACATAGGGCCTTATTTTGAATGTACACGTCAAGCTTTTATTGACAAAAACCTCAATTGAAGATATACCCTATATCTTAAAGTGATTTTCCCATCATAATTATGTATTTCAATGAAGGTTCGACAGGTTTACATTCAAAATAAGTCCCTATGTTTAACTATGGCCATAGTTTCCATTCAGTATTAGAAAAAACAGGCTTTGGTATGAACTGACGCACTTTTTTAGAACAAATATCTTTTGAGCACTTAACTAGCGCCCATTGAATTTATAAACAACTTAAAAAAATCTGGTTTGAGCTGAGGCATAACATTGCCAGCCAACTCACTTTAGAAACTACCCATCTCAAACCACCTACAAAGCCACACTGATACATTTCCCTGTTAAAGGCTTGGAGACAAAAAAAAACTTTACAGACCCACATTAATCAAACAGGTATTTCCCTGGCACACCCTTCAAGAACTTAGGGGTTCATTTCAACACAAGATCCAGTCTGACTGGGAAATAACATGAGACACATTATGTAGGGGCTGTGTTAGTGCATATCACTGGAGCTATTTGAGTTTCAGTGCCTGCACGTTTGGTGAAAGTTTGGTTGAGTCCAGGTCCAGCAGGATTTTCTGGTACACCTTGAAATACACTTCAGGTGTTTTGGATAGCTCAAGTTGAGTGCGGGCCTGCTGGAGAGCTCCGCAAGGACGGATGGAGTCAAGCTCTCTTTTCTAAACATCCGTCAGTCGAGACGGAGAATGCAAGCTTGTGATTGGTCAGAACGCCACTGTCGTCTACACCGCCGCCATTGCGCCCTCAAAAACATAAAGAGAGCCGAGGATAACTGCGGCAGACACGGAGAAGCTAGAAGAATACCTCGCGAAAAAACTCTAAAAACATGAACGTTTAATTCCCTCATGACTGGATGAGTGAAAAGATGTGCAGCAAGCGTTTTATTTGTGGACAGAAATGACAGGAAATGTGGGTTTAGAGGTGGCGAGTGCATGAAGAGGTGGAGGAGGATGAGACAAATTTGTCTGTGTTAAAAAGTCTCATACACAAAAAAACAATATATAAACACACTATCTTGGGCCGTTACATGACAGGATACAACAGAACAGCGCTACGCCCTCAGTTGTCCTGCTGGGGAATTGCTTTGCAACACTCCCCAGGAGACGTAGAAGTATGAGAGCAAAATGCTTCCGTCAATCCGTGCATGTCTGTCCCTTGAGGAGCAGACGGAGAAGCATGAATCAGGCTTTAAAAACACCAGCTGGACTGGCTCACTGGTGTCTGGGTCGGTTCCAGCTCACAGAAGCCCGCATGAGCTCCAGAACCGGGTGACAGACGTCTCTCCCCCTCTCTAAGCTAAACTAGGTTAGGTGAACGGATATTAACGAGTATTAATATTATACTAACTGACCGATACTATTTTAACTGTCTGGTACATGATAGCAATCTGTACTATCGTGTGATGCTAGCATACAAGTTTAAGCCAGCATGGCTAACTCACCCGCTTCTCCTCACATGGCAGCACAATCTCTTTGCTTTGACCAATGGTTTCCCCCTCTGGTTAGTTTCTGCTCTCTGGGGCGAGCAGCAAACTCATAACTTTATGGTTCTGGTCCATCAGAAGTACAATCATAAACATTTAAAGGTTCCTCTGTGTCAGAGCCACAGTAGAGTACAGATTTTTAGCTGGATTAAGCTAACAGGACTCCCTCAGCTGACGTCACATGGTTTGGGGAAAAAAGACTTTAAAAGCCTAAATAATTTATGTTTGTGTAAAATATGTTTAAAACAAGTTTCCATAATGTTTCTCTAAACATTGTTCATGGGAGTCTCTGACCTGCTCTTTAACGTCCCTCTGCCATTGTGCAGCTCTCATTTCAGCCAGTGCTACAGGTGGCCAAGTCTGGCCTAGAATGTCCTGAGGAGGTAGTGGTGAACCCCTTCAACTGCCTCACACGTAGTTTCAGGATGAGACAGAGGTCCACAGCCAGTTATTTGGTTTTGGTGATTAGTTCGAAGCTTCTGAACATAAAAGATGGTTTGAGACATTTTTTTAGTGAATTGATTTATTGGACAGAATCAGAGTTTCAGGGTCCTGGCCCGGCCAGACAGCAGCAGCCAGTACCAATTCACTGGTTTACTGGAACTTTCCTCTTCGGTTCTAACTGGTAATGCTGGTTTTCCAGTCAGGATTTCATTCATTAGTTCAACCTGCTGGTCTTTAGGTATCAAGTCTTTGAATCAGTCGATGTTTTTTCCTTACATCTTGTAACTTTGTTCCATTATTTAATTTTGAGCTGAAAAAGTCTGAAATTAGGAGACTTTCTTATTCGAACGAGCAGTAAAGCGGATTTAACACATTTACTTGTGTGTGTGTGTGTGTGTGTGTGTGCACAAACAATGCCCTAATGAGGACCTCTTGTCTTGTGTCCACAGGCCCAGACTGAAGACTTGGATCGTGGTATGACCCAGATAAATGTGAGTCATCATCAGCTCCCTGTTTCTGTCACCTTGGTGTCTACTTCCTGACTAGAACTGTGTGTTTGATGGGGAACTTACACAGTTCTGCACCAGAGTTGTATTTCTGTAGAACATCTTAAGTAAGAAGCATCAGTTGTTTTCAAATGCACTAGAATATGGCTGATAGTCTGCAGCTGTGTTTGGCCGGCTGATCTCTAGAAGAAGAAAAAAATCTTTTATAGAGCGCCTCTCAATATAAAAATCGCGAAGAGCTTCAAAAAAACAAAACAATAATTAAGTGTAAAAAGATTTCAAAGATGATTGTTTAAACAGAGAAAAGAAAAAATGTAAGGAAAGGGAGAGATAAAATGAGTAGGAAAGAGGGAAATCAGTGGATCCCGGGAAAGTCGGAGTCGGGAGAGGGAGGTGATGAAAGTCCCACCAAAGCCTGAACAGGTGAGTGTCAAGGAGACCACTGAGTCCACTGATGTCAGGCTCAGAGGGAGAGAGGTCCAGGGTCATGGGTGGTGATCCAAAAAGCTCTCTAACACATTTTTGGACATTTAAAGGAGGAGCAAAGAAACTACAAGAAATAAAAAAAAACTATCTTTAGATGTTATGTCTCCATCTCAGAAGATCTTAGTCCATAACTCAACATATCATGGAACCAAAGGGAGCAGGTTTGCCATGATATGGTTGGATCAGACCTTTGAGATCCAGAGTTCAGACACTCCCACAGGCTTCCATAGAGAGAATGGAATGCTAAAGTAACGTGGGCCATCGACCTTCAGATAGTTCCAAACACCAACAGTTCCACCAATGAACGCTGTTTATTCTCTGTGTTTCAGAGCTTTTTCCTCCGGTACGTTAATGAAATCACAACATTTTGACATTGTGAAGCGTTAGCTCACTGCCTTGAACCAAAATAGGTCAATAGTGATTTTTCTTGTAGCCAGTTTTAGTTCATTTATCGTGTAAAACGGCTGGTCGTAGTTTTAACTGCAGATAGCTTAGCGGCCTGTTTTAGTGGGTCAAACAGACTATTTCTGTCTGATTCAGCTTTTTAACTTAATCAGAACAGTTTTAAATATTTAGAGTTGTGTAAATTATTCAGAGATTTTAAAGTTTAAAATAAATTCACAATTATGTCCGTGTGTATGTGTCAGAGTGGTAGAGGACCAACGTTTTTAACTTCCTGTGTCACTGCAGCTCTGTAACTCGCTCTAACTCCAGTTACTAAACCATCTGAACTAGAGAAAAGCTGTTTCGATTCTGAGACAGCCATTGCTAGTTTAGTTAGAGATGTAGGTCATTTAATGGACAGCAGCATAAATTGGGACATCATCAGGAAAGTAAAGTCTAACAGATCCTGTGTGACACAGCCACTATTAATAGGTATCAATATGCACACCTGCATAATAACTGATTCTCATACTTTCTAAAAACACTCCCTAACGGCAGCAAATATAAAGAAAAATGTAGTGGACCCAGAACTGAGCCCTGGGGTACCCTGAAGTCCATCTGTGACACCAGCGAATATTTGCCGTGGTGCACAGAATAATTTTTCCTCAAAAGATATGACTGATACAGTTTAAGAGGAACACCCTTAATCCAAACCCAAGATTCAAGGCGAGACAAAAGGATCTCATGATCCATGGTATCAAATGCTGCTGATAGATCCAGCAGGATCAGCACAGCTGAGTCACCATGGTCTACAATCTGCAGTAGGTCATTACAAACGCAAACCAATGCCATTTCCGTGCTAGGATATGGTCTAAAGCATGACTGAAACATCTCCTGAAAATTGTTTTTCTCCAGGTAAACCTGTATCTGTCCATAGACAACCGTTTTCATTACCTTCGACAAGAAGGCCAGCTTAGATCACGGATACAAGCGACCAAAATGAGTTTTCTCCGCAGAGGGGCTGGGCTCTCTCTTAGAGAAAGGGTGAGAAGCTCAGTTATCTGGGATGGGCTCGGAGTAGATTTGCTGCTCTTCCAGATTGAAAGGAGCCAGTTGAGGTGGCTTGGGCATCTGGTCAGGATGCCTTCTGGACGCCTCCCTGGTGAGATTTTCTGGGCATGTCCAACCGGGAGGAGGCCTAAAGGTAGACCCAGGACATGGTGGACGGACTATGTCTCTCACCTGGCCAGAGAACGCATTGGGATTCCCCCGGAGGAGCTGGCTCAAGTGGCTGGGCAGAGGGAAGTCTGGGTCTCTCGAATTAGGCTACTGCCCCCGAGACCCGACTCCAGATAAGCGGAAGAAAGTGGATGGATGGATGGATGGAAGGAAGGAAGAAGGGCTGCTTAGAGATTGGGTGATAGTTATTCAAGTCCTGCGGGTCTAAGCTGTCCTTCAGAAGTGGTCGGACCACAGCATGCTTATAGGCAGCCAGAACAATGCCAGTGGCCATTGAGGAGTTAGCTAGGTCCAAAAAATGAGGACCAATGGTGTTAGAAATGTGCAACAGTAAACCTGGTGGAATAAAGTCACCAGCTGAGAAAGAGGGTATAACGTGGTGAAAGTGGTTACCTTCGTTAAATGATCAATAAGATGTGATATTCAATATAAATAAGAATCATCAATATTGTTGATCTTTTGATATTTGATCTAAGATGAAACCAGGTCTTTTGGTAGTTCAGGGAAATCACACCTTCGTAATAATTTGAGTCAGAGACAAAAATATGGCTTATAAAATGAATGTAATACCATATTTCTACTACTAATGATGACGCAGAACACATTATGATGAATGATTGAAACAAGATAACTGAGACGATGAATGAAATGATGGAATGTGAGGTTAGATGTTAAGTAGCAGAACCTGATTAAGTATCTTGGAAACTTGAGACGTCTGGGTTGTAAAATCAGTCTGACTGTATGGTTCAACAAACTATCATTAATAAAACCATCCCACGCCAGTGTGCAGGCTCTACGAACCCTTGTGGTGACGGCTCCCGATGATCCAGGGTCCGGAGAAGTCGGTACGGACAGACTACTGATGGACTTCTGTGGTATTTGGAGCATGTAGGCCCACCTTGAATACAATAGCACTATTATATTAATAATCAACCTCCCGGAGTCAGGGCGGCCCAACCTGTGTCCTGGCAGCAAATTAACTCTGGTCATTTGATGGCCTTGAGCCTTGCTACACCTCTAAAATAGAAAACTGATAAATGTAAAAAGTTTTGATAAAATACATAATCAGTGTAGTGATCAATACACATTATTGGTCAATAAGTCTGGCCAGAGGATGTCCATATTGACTAGCAGTGCTGGGCTGTTTGGAACTATTCAAGGCTCTATGAACCACGTGACCGCGCTAGGGCTTTGGGATGGAAATGACTATGACTAACTAATGAGCCACAGACCTATGTGCCTCAATGATAGCCTGGTCTGCCAGACTCCTCCTCAGTTTAATTCTGCACAGAGAAAGGGTCTGGGAACGCTCCTATTGAAATAACCCCACCCCCTGAGAATTCTAACCGAGCCAATCAGCGCTGAGCAGCAAACGTCACACACCACAACGCTGAGTTTGTGGAACATGGCGACTGAAGCGGAGTTCTCTGCATCTCTTTCCTCTGTTCTAAATGACTTGAATGTCTTTAAAACAACAAGTAGAAGCGCCAAAAGTCTTTCTTCTAAAGAAAGATGTTTGCGTTGTCGCCAGACGCCATTTTTTACTACAGCTAAAAAACGACTGCGTTGCACGGTACAGTCAGCATTTACGTCTTTTTTTCTGATTGGTTGTTTTTGAGCTGCCTAGTTCCGCCCCTCAAGTGCCTCTCTGCCTGTAAGTTACTCCACTCTTTCTCTGTGCAGAATTAAACAGAGGACGAGTCTGGCAGGCCAGGCTACCTCAGTGGGCCGGTGGTTTGGAAACAAAATGTTGCCTCTAACTTTCTTTATTTTTTGCCAAGTGTATAGTGTTGCAAGGTTAGCTAACGTTAGTGTTAGCATTTCCAGCGGCAAAACCCTTGACTGCTGCGGCGGTTGGGGGTTGACTCTCTTCATCCAGATCCGTAGGTTTTTGTGGGTCTGAGATCACTTCCAAAGATTCATTCATTTCTGACTGGACCCGTGGAAATTTGGGCAACAAAAACCGATCCATTTCACCACTAGCTCTACCTTTCACTCATTCGCAGGTGGAAAATGAGGTCAAAGGCTAACATCAATTTCCTGTTTTGGTTTAAGTTTTTATTATCTATATGATAATTTACTGATTATTTTTGTTTTGTATGTTAAATATTATCACATCCACACGTTAAATTACAATTAAATTGTAAAAAAAAAAAAAAACTATTTACTTGGAGGTGCTATGGGGGTGCAATGACTAATCCAGGGGTAGCTATAGCGCCCCCCTGGCGCCGCCACTGGAACCCAGCTGGGTTTCGGACTCGGCCCTGGTTCAGTCTTAATCTTAACAATTGTTTTTTGTGTGACCTCATCCCTGCTGGGTTTCACAGAAGTGCTGCCTGACTCTCTTTAGAAACAAGCTTTATTTTCTTAGTTTGTATTTCATTTCACTTTTGTGTGGTTGAACTTAAAAACGTTTTATTACGTTATCGAAGAAAATGTCTAAAAACCTGAAAAAGCCACAGTCCTACGGCCCTTCCCACCCAAACACCACGACTCCCCACCAAGACTTGTTTATGCCTACTTTTGTTAGACTTAATGGGATTTGACTAATTAAATCTGCTCCTGGTTGAAGAACCCCCACTAGTATGACTTAATGGCTCTCAGCTCTGCAGCAGTTGCTCCAAGATAGATTTTAGACAAACAAACTTGTCTTTTTAAAATAAACAGGCCGGTGCTCGAGACTAACGGAGAGATGTTTCTGGTCAGACCTGCTTCAGGTGGCACGCGTTAACTCCAGTGCTCCTGTTGATCCGTTGCTTTTTGGACAAAACGGTTTCTGTGTGTGGTGTTTGACAGCTTCTGCATGAAACACGGACCTCTGCACATGATTGCTTCTGTCCTGAGCAGAACCTGCTGGATTTTTGGTTTTTCTTCTG